ATCATATTAATTATCTTATTTTAGTAACACCATACTTTTAAATATTTTCAGGAATTCATGATGCTAACTTATGTTAACAATAAATGAAGTTCCTCTCATAATAACGATGTCGACTGAAGATTATGAATGATCAATCATTTATTATACTAAATGTTATATAACATAAATCTAGATTAATCATTTAACAAGCAAGGTATTAAGAATTAATAAGATAAAAAAATAAGACATATTAATAACAAATTTTCTTGGATATAAACATTGAAGTCTATGTTGAATTTATATTATACATATTCTAACAGCATTAGTGAAATCTTTTTATCTTGACAAATTAAACTGAGCTAAATATTATAAAGAAAAGAAACATAAATAAACAAAATAAGAACATAATTATGATATAAGTTAACTAAGAGTAGTAAAGAAAATGAAAAGTATAGATAAAAGATTAATATAACATGAAAGAAAACTTGAACATTACAAAGAGAGAAAGTAAGAAAGTGATCTTGATATGAAAATCAAGTTGCTTAAATGTATGACAAATGTCTTTTTTATATGTTAAAAAAAACTATTCATTTAGTAATTAACTATTGAATTAGTGGTCAAAAAATGACTTAGTGGACTTGGTGGTTTAGGTATGGATCTGTTTTTTTGAATCAAATGACATTTTTATGATCAGAATTTAACAATATGATCTCATGAAAGTTGTATGAATCTGTCTCAACTTTCTATCAAAAGAAGAATGAGCTCATTTATACTTCTAGAACTCGAAATATGGACTAAACACTAAATAGTGTTTGGGTTGCAAGACAGATTCAGACTTTTATTTTTATGCTAAAATTTGGACTCCAAAATGGCAGAATTGAGTCTTGAACTCTGAATGAATATTTTCGGCTTATATCTTAGCTTTTTAGCCATATAAACCATACTGAAATTCATTCAAAATCTATAGTTTCAGATATGACTCAATGACTGAATGATGTTCTAGTTTGAATTGAACCAACATCTTTTTTCTAAGCTGAGTCATTTCTCTGTCCTTTCACTTTCAATAATTAATTACATCAATCATTCTTTTGAACTGTAAAATATGTTTGCATTTAAAATGAATTAAAGCTATTTTATATTATCAGACTTGTTATTATAACATGCTTAAGATAAAAAATTTAATGATACTTTAAGTGTAATATAATGATATAAAATCTTAATAAAAATATACTTTTAAATACTAATTATTTTTTTAAAAAAAATATTATGAAAACATCTTTGTCGTGATTTGTACTTTGTCTAAGAGGCTATAACCAAGAAAATTTTAAATTAAAATAATGTTGTTTGGGATAAAAATAATAAGTTGAAATTGACTTAATAACTTATATATTAACTAGATAATTCAAAAACTAAGATTTTATTTATTTATTTATTTAAATCAAGTCTAACAACTATATTGTTAGATGAACCATTCTTGACATGACTTGTTAGATTACTCAGAAAGGTTGATCTATGAAAAAAAAATGTTATTGTTATTCAAATTAAACCATAAAAAAATGAATACTATTTAGTCAATTTCTAATTATTATGATAAATAATGTTTTAAAAGTACTATTTAGATTTTCTTTTATACAATAAAGATATTATCATATCAATTTTCACATATTACCAATTATCAAATTATTTCTCCGAATTCCTATAAATTTTTTTTGATAAGAGGTATGTGTCTCAAAATTAAGCATAGTTATCATACTAGCTTTGTTTAGCCTAACAACTGAACCCCGGATCTAGAATTTTAACCTAGTTTGTTTCATTTAAAACATAAGTCAATAATTGATTTGAAGGAAATCATTTGATTCGTTAGATCAACTTGAAACTCAGGTGACTTGTAAAATATAGTAAAGATTTTTTTAAAATATATATTTTTTTATCATAGTCAAAGATCTTTTATATATATATATATATTTTTTAGTTGGTTATTAATCTATTTTAAAGTTCATTATATAAATACTAGAAGAATATTTTAATTTTTAAATATGAAATTTGAAACCTTTTAATATATATACTCTATATTTACAAGAAAAAAAATTATAATTTTTCAATATGAGATAATTTTTTTTGTTTAAATATTTCAACTTAAAAAAATAAGATAGTATCTTTTTAATAAAATAATTTTCTAAATTTCATTATTTACAACATATATAGCTCATATTCATATATATTGTTTTTTTATTTTTTTCATTTGAAATATTAAATCTTCAGATATTTTTTTTAAATTTTTACTAGCGGACCTAGGTTAAGTCAACCTGTATAACATAAAACCTAATTTTTTGATCAATCACCTGAGCTGAATTTGAGGGTGTTTGGGAATGTAGTAGTAACTATTTTTTAAAATGTTTTTCATTTTAAAATACATTAAAAAAATATTTTTTTAAAAAATATTTTTAACATCAACACATCAAAATAATTTAAAAATATTAAAAATATATCAAATTTGGAGCAATAAAAATTAAAAATTTTCAATTTTTTTTAAAAAAATACCTAAATATTCATGAAGTTAAATAGTCATAGGTGCCTCAAAGTTTAATAGCTGCATGGGATTAGCTTTATGTCTATAGTCTAGAAATAATAGACCTGGTCCATCGTCTCTACAAAATTCATTAATTATACCTTTCACAGAACTCGCTGGCGCTTTCATTCTCTAAAAATTAATTATTTATATAATCATTTTATGAATTCTTTCTACAATATTTTTAAGGAAATGTCTTCCCAAAAATTACAGGGATGCAGGAAAACTAGAACGCGTCCTTGACTCGGGAAAGTTAATTAATTTTCTTCCCATGACGTGTTGATATGATCTGTGTTCTCAGCCTATTTTGTCTGCCAAATTGTCTTGACTAGTATTGCTTTTCTTAACTGATACGCCTTGCCTTCTTCGCAAACTGACATGAACATCAAAAAAGACAAGATATACTTCATGTCCTCCTTGAACTTCTGTTCCTTAGCTTTTACCATGTTGTTTTTAGTCTGCATCCCATGTTGTTCATGCGCAGTTAGCCAGCAATAGGCACGTATAACACAAGGAAGGTTGACACAGTTTGATTCATAGCTGGTTCCTACTTCTCTTAGTCACTGTAGACGTTGAGTTTCTTGGTAAGAAAGAAAATTTTTGAAGGTTTATTAATCAAGGGAGACTCGTGTGTTTTAGACAGATTTATGCTTATTTGTCAGAGCTAACAGGGAGTAGCTAGAAGAAGTACCCTAAACCGGTGGCTGATCACCCGGTGATCAGTTTGGCCATTGTGAGATGTGAGAAAAACAGCAGTCTGTTTCTGCAATATCCGTTCGGATCAAGGAGATTTCAGATGTCCCTGTAATTAAGTACACTTTGACTCGTTTTATTGCAATATGCTGTGGCAGGATTCTTTTGTTTCTTGTGAACTAATGGCCTGGAGGTTTTGACCCTGGCTATATTTTCTTGCAGTTGGTGGTTAGAATGGAGGATCTTCACAAGCTGTACTCAGAAGCCTTGCCGAACATACCTATTTCTGTAATCAAAGGGACACCTGTAGACAAGGTTTGCCTCAAAGCAAGCAGACAAATGCCATGCTTTAAATTTTTGGTTGATTCGCAGATGCAACTGTTTTATGAGCTATTGATGGTACTATGTTTTATAGAGAGTGGCACATTTCTGCAAGGCGTTGACATATATTAGAGATTCATGGATGGTTAGATTCAGATATGATAAGACTGGTAAAATCAAGAACACTGATGGGGCACAACTTGGTATGCCGTTTCTTTCCCTAAGGTCTTGTTAGGCCATTTTTATTCCTATTTTCCTGATATTGGTAGTTAAATTTATAATCTTATGCCGATGGGGCACAACTTGGTATGCAGTTTCTTTCCCTAAGGTCTTGTGAGGCCATTTTTATTCCTATTTTCCTCATATTGGTAGTTAAATTTATAATCTTATGTTATTGAAGTTGATGTAGCGTTCGCAACGTTTGATTACATGATTAAGGTAGCAAGAGAACTATTTGACATCCCGGAAGATGAAGAGCTGGAAAACGATTATGGCTCATTGGCTAGCACGTTAAAACAGTCCTCTTCTTATCCCAGCAAGCTTGTTTCTCCTGCTGCAGCAACTGATGCTTGTGCAAAAACTAGAGAGTCTGCAAATATTTCGGAGCCTCCATCACGTCCCCAGTCTCTTAGAGACCAGGGTACTAAAAAATATAGCCACTTGATGCAAAAGAACGAAAGTATAGAGGCACAGAAGCCAAATAGCAAAGTTCCCACAAGCAAAAACACAAAGGGTGTAGCTTCTATTATGGATGAGAATTCTATCAAGACACTAGATGATAAACCTGGTCGAACAGGAATTCCAAGGGCTCCTCCACCGCCAGCCAATATCTCCAAAGAAATGGCGCAATCGACACCACCACCAGTAATGCCTTCAAAAGGATCAGTACCAGATGCAGTGACACTAAACAAGGGTCCTCCTCCTCCACCTCCACCACCACCAGCAATGTCTTTGAAAGGATCGGCACCAAATGGCATGCCGCCCAAAAATGTTCCTGCCCCATCTCCATTACCAGCTATGCCTTCGAAAGGATCAGCACCAAATTCCTTGCCACTAAAAAAGGGCCCTCCACCTCCTCCACCGCCTTTAGTGCCTTCGAAAGGGTCAATACCAAATGCAATGCCACTCAGAAAGGGTCCTCCTCCTCCACCTCCTCCACCAGTAATGCCTTCAAAAGGATCAACACCAAATGGCATGCCGCTCGACAATGTCCCTGCCCCACCTCCACCACCAATGACGCCTTCGAAAGGATCAGCACCAAACACCATGCTGCTCAAAAAGGGGCCTCAACCTCCTCCACCGCCCCAATTTGGTGCTGGTAAGTCCCTGTTTCAGACAAGACCCACTACCAAACTAAAGAGATCCACCCAGATGCCGAACCTGTTTCGTGATCTCAGGAGCAAGATGGAAGGATCTAGTCTAACTGTTAAGACAACTAATGTAAGAAAGGTGCATCTTGGAGGTTCTAAGGGTGGCAAGGAAGGATTGGCTGCTTCACTAGCAGAAATGACAAAAAGGTTTGCTTCTAATGATATTTAGCGCTTAACAGAGTATAGCTCGATAAATTTCAGTGTAATAAAACTCGAAAATGTTAGCTAAGGATAATTTTTTTTTTTTATATATTTTTGGTAGTCTAGATCAACGTACTTCCAGCAAGTTGAAGAAGATATTAAGAAATATTCAAAATCCATCATAGAGTTGAAGGCAGACATCAATTCTTTTCAGACAAAGGACATGATAAAGCTGCTCAAGTTTCAAAGCAATGTAGAATCCACTCTTCAATTCCTAACTGATGAATCACAGGTCAATAGAGCATAGCTTCTGTAATCCACTCCACCAGCAATTCCAGTTGTTAACATTCAGAATTTCACTTCTTAGTCATGAACACCATAACTGTGCAGGTGCTTGCCAAGTTTGAAGGTTTTCCCTCAAAGAAGTTGGAAACATTACGAACAGCAGCTGCACTGTACTCAAAATTCGACACGATAGTCACTACCTTGAAGAACTGGGAGGTAGTAACTCCCTTGGGACAGCTTTTGGACAAGATTGAGAAATATTTGAGTAAGGTAAACTATGTCCAAATTTAAATGATGCAACGTCTCTTCATAACTACTGCTTACCTTTTCTCTCTGCTCAAGATCAAATTAGAGCTGGATGCATTTGAACGAAGCAAGGACGAAGAATCCAAAAAATTTAAGAGACATAACATTGATTTTGAATTCCACATAGTCACCAAGATTAGAGAATCAATGGTGAATCTTTCTTCCAACTGCATGGAGCTAGCACTCAAGGTATGTCCTGTAATGCGATTATGTCATGGCCAAAGCAACTAACGTATTGGAGAGTTTTCTAATGTCATCAATGTTGGCCTCTCTTGCAGGAGAGGAGAGAATCAAAAACAGCAGTTGAAAATCAAGAAACTATGGCTAAACCTGATCAGAAAACTAAAGAAAGCGTTAAAATGCTCTGGAGAGTTTTTCAGTTAGCATTTCGAGTCTACAGTTTCGCTGGCGGACAAGATGATCGTGCTGAAACGTTGGCCAAAGAATTGGCAGATGAAATCTTAATTGATTCACCAAACCAATAATGTTCCTTGAGAGAAATCTACAGAAATGTGTATGAAAAACTACCATTTTGGTGGCTAAATTATTAGTTTTTGTGTGGTCAAAACAACATAAAAAATTGCAATCTTTAAGGAAGAAAACAGGTTTTAATTTTCCGCAGAATAGCATGAACAAAGACATAAAACAGTTAAACTTCTTTTCTTTTTCTATATTCACTCATTCATGCATCTTTCAGCCATATACATGCAAAAAACCAACACATCTTAGCCTTACACTATTATCTTAATCACCTTTTATTCTAACTATATTTACTTTATTTCTAAAACAAGTTAACTAACTAAATTTAAAGTTAAATAGCCGTCACAGTAACCTTATACTTATCATAACATATCAACCTTAATACTATCCTTTTTAATATGTTAAACTTGAACTCTTAGTGTATTTTTTAGTTTTTAAAATTTATTATTTGACAATATTTTTATAAAGATATCAGCCACTTAATTATTTAATTTGTAAAATTCCATATCAACCTCTCTTTCTTTAATTCCTTAAAAAAAAAATAATATTTAAGTGTAATATGTTTGGCTAAAAATTAGATTTTTTTGTCATTAATATTAATATAACTGATTTATTATCACAAAATAATGTTGTTGGCTTTTCTTGCTTTTCACCTACATTCAGTAGCTAAACCAGTTACAACATATTTAGCATCAATAAATGATAAATCAGTTACAACATATTCAACGTCAATAAATGATTATGTTATTGATTGTTCTTTCTTTGAACACCAAGAAAACACACCTAAATCAAGAGAAAAAATATAGTCTAAAGTACTTTTCATATCATCAATACATCCATTTTAATCACTGTCATAAAATCCAATCAACTTCAACTGAGAAACTCTATCAAATCTAATCACATACTCCATAATATCTTAAATGTATCTAAATATCTTTTTAGCAACTTCAAAATGAAAATGATTAGGAGAATTCATGAACTTATAAAGCAAACTTGTTGCAAACATTGTATATGACCTTATAACTATTAAATACAATAGATTGTCAACCAAACTTCTATAAAATATAACATCCATCTTATTTCCCCCGTCATCTTTTATTAACTTTTCATTTACTATAAAGATACATCAATAGGTTTGCAGCCAAATATTCTGATATTTTTTAGAACTTTTTTAACAAACTTCTTTTAAGAAATAAAGACACCTCCATCATTTTAATAAATCTCACTACCCAAAGCAACCCCATATCATTCATCTTATATCTCATCATAATATTTTTTTTTAAATATTCAATCCATCTTTTATTATTACCTGTAATTATTAAATCGTAACAATAAGAACATCATTATCTTATTGTTTCTTCACATACAAAGTAGGTTTACCTTTTCTTCTTTAAAAGTAATTTAGAGAATTCTTGAACCTAAAAAGTAAACTTGTTGCAAATATTAAATCTTGCATTATAGCTATCAAATATAATACATGCCCAACCAAACTTTAATAAAAAGTATCATCCATCCATCTTCTTTCCTCCATCATTTTTTATCAATTTTTCATTCACCAACAAATGTACATCAACAGGTTTGCAGCTAAACATTTTAAGAATTCTTTCAACAAACTTCTTTTGACAAATAAAGACAACTCTATTATTTTGGTAAACCTTAATGCTTAAAAAATAATATAGTAGACCCTTATCATTCATCACATATCTTCTCATCATTTTTTTCATAAAATCTCCAATACATCTTCCATTATTGTTTATAATAATTAAATCATCAATATATAATACACCAATAAAAACATCATTCTCTCATTGTTTCTTTACATAGAAAATAGGTTCACTTTTGCTTCTTTCAAACCCGTGCTAAATGAACTAGCTATCAATTTGGTTATACCAAGTTATTGGAGTTTGTTTCAACCCATATAATGCATTCTTCAGCAAAAACAACTTATTCTTTTCCCATTAAAAACAAAACCTTGTGGTTGCACTATATAGACTTATTCTTTCAAGTTCCAATTTTAAAATGCTGACTTTATATAAAGTGTATATAACAACTAACCCTTATGAGTTGCAAATGCAATGAGTACTTTAACAATATCCAAACAAGCTACCAAAGTAAAATTTTTATTGAAATCAATTTCATGCAGTTAAGAATAACTATTAATTGTCAATCTTATCTAGTTCTTTTGAATAGAACCATCTTTATTGTGCTTCACTTTGTAAATTTATTTCACATCAATCACTTCTTTGTCTTTTTTCTTATCCAACATTTAAGGTTTGTTCTTCTCAATCATTTTTATTCCCTTTATAGCTATTCTCCAATGTTTCTATTGTTTGTTTCTTTAAAATTCTTTGGTTTAACAACATAAAACTTGCACATTGCATGCACCTCACGTAAACTTGTCATTTTCTTTGAAGTTGAGCTAGAAGATGATGATGCATTTGTTCTAGAATTTAGATACTTTTCTTTTTTTTTCCTTTTTTTTCTTTTACAAGATGATGATGCATTTGTTCTAGGATTTAGATACTTTTCTTCTTTTTTTTCCTTTTTTTTCTTTTTATTAACTGATTTTTTCTTTAAATCACAAGTTGAATCACCATCACCTTTAATTTTTCCTTTTGTTTTTTCATTAAACAACACATCTCTGCTGACAAGAACTTTTTTAGTTTTGAAATTATATAGCCTATAGCCTTTTAACATAGAGCTATAGCCAAGAAATATGCATCTAACACTAGTTTCTTCCAATTTATACCTTTTCTCCTTTGAAATTTGAGCATAACACACATATCTAAACACTTTTAGATGATTCATTGAAGGCTTCCTTGAACTCGAAGCTTCAAATGGTGTTTGATTATTTAAGGTTTTTGTTAGACACTTATTGATTAAATAAATTGTTGTATTTATAGCTTCAGCCCAATAACTTCTTAGAAGACCCTTCTCATACAACATAGATTTGACCATTTTCATTACTATTTTATTTTTCCTCTCAGATACCCTATTTACTTGTGAAGTATAACCAATTATCAACTATCTTTACATATATTATTCTTCATAAAACTTGTCAAATTCACCTAACATATACTTCTTTCCACGACCACTTCTCAAAACTTTTATTTTATAGATACTTTGTTTTTTAACAAGTGCTTTAAACTTCTTGAATGTGTTAAAAAAATTAGATTTATGTTTTATAAAGTACATTTAAGTTATTCTACTATAATCATTAATGAAGTGGGTGAACTACCTATTTAGTGAATGAACTACCTATTTAGTGAATTTAAAGAAGTTTGCATAGGGCTACAAACATTCGCATACACCAACTCAAGTATTTATTTAGCTCTCCATACTACTTTTTAAGGAAAAGGTTGTTAGTGATGTTTTCTAAGTGCATAACCTTCACAAACACTATCCTTCTCTCAATAAATGGAAGTCCATGCATTATTTTTTTTTTTTCACTAAAGTAAATTAATACAAATCCCTGCATAAATATAAGATCAAAGTAATGAGACCTCGATAAGTAATGGAAACTCAGTATGAAAAGAAATGAATAAATGGTGAAAATAAAAATAAATATGAAATATAAACCCCTAGATAAAAATTCATGAGGATAGTGAAGTAAATACTATGAGAAGATAATAAATTGAATATTTGAATTAAAAAGATGACCTTAATGTTGGGATAAAATTTTCATGTGTTAAGTTTAAAAATATAAATATAAAAAATGATGGAAGTAATAATAAATGTGACTAGTAATGAAATGGATGGCCTTCGTAAATAAATTTAAGGGTATTTTTAAAGTTGAAAAAAGATTTATGAATTTTGGGGTTCAAAATTCATAACGTCAGCGAAACCAGTAATGAGTTTTAATAGATAAAATAATAATTCAAAATAATTATGTTTTTTTAAAATAAAATGTTGCCAAGGATTTAGTGGAATGATTAGCATTGTCTATCTAATGATTGAACAAGAAAATTTGGATTATTTAGCGTAAAATCACCAACTACCCAGTTTTATATTATTATGCAGCACTCATAATCCAATCGTAGATCAATATGAAATTTTACTAGGAGTTTCCTAATATATTATGTTATCTTAGGTTAGAATTTTAGGGTCATTAAAGTTCAGGAAGATCATACAAGATTGTTAACGGTCAGAAAAAAATAAAATATAGACTTATTAATGGCATTTTTATATATAAGTGGATAAACTTATTAATATTATTTTTATAAATAAGTGGATAAACTGTAAATCTCAACTCCTTTCTCTCTTTATAATAACCAATTTTGCTAAAAAGAAAACAAATAGCGTTTCTTACTTCTTTACAATTTTTACACAAAAAACAAACTTGAGAGAATTTAAGTTTTGAGGCTAGAAAAAGAGAGAGATAAATGCTTGAACCTATCAATCACAAGAATCAAGAGAAAATTAAATGAGAGAAAATGGGATCTTAGAGAGAAAGGCAGGATAAATTAGAGGGAAACGAAAGAGGAATGGTAAATTTTTAATCAATTAGCATTCAAAACTCATTTTATTATCAGGTAAGGAGTTCTAAACCTAAATATACAAGTTTAGATGAAGACAAATATATTTGATGCTAAAATTCGTGAATTTTAAATTAGGGTTCTTAAGAAAATTTAGAAAAAATACAAATTGAATGTTAGTTGAATCATTTGGGTTAGAATGAGTGGTAATGGATGCAAAATTATGGCAAGAATTGAAATAAAACTTAATATCAAAGAGATAGTAAGAACCGACCATAATGGTGGAAATTTGAAGAATTGTGGATTTTTTATATGTGTATGTTTAATTATGTTAAATTAATTCATGATGATGTATTAATTATTATTTGAAATAAAAATCATACCACTCTTGTTGTGTGTGTTTCAGGCCAATATTGCAAATAATAATAATAATAATAATAATAATAATAAGGAATTAAATTGTTTTTCTCATTTGACATGAGAATTATGTTGGGTTGTACTATAGAAGATATTTTGAGATTGATATGAATTATGATTTTATGAAAAAATTTAAAAACAAGAATATGGTTAATTAATAAGAATCTCGACTAAATAAAATTTTTTAAGGAAACAATTAAAAAAGTGTGAAAACTTACAAGACTTCATGCATCACCTTTTTCTTCTTTTTTGTTTGAACTTC